TGCCAGAGCAGACCTGAGAAGACCCTAAGCCTGTAAGGACAAGCTGACCTGTGTGTCGAGGTTGCAGGGTGCACTAAAAAAAACAACGTAATGAATATCAAAACATATTAGCGGCATTCTAAATTGCAATATGCTGCATGATCCTTATTCATGAGCTGTACCCAAATTCTGGCATGGCTACAAGCAAGTTCTGTTTAGAGAACATCTTCATTAAAAGTGAACAAAACCTACCTAGATTACTGCTTCATTTACTCTTTTTTAGCACAATTAAAAAAGCAAAAATGAGAAAAACTCTGTCATGTAGACATTCCTGCGGAAAAGCATGAATGTGCAGCATTCACAAGATAGCTGTACTGTAAATCACAACTGTAATTGGACCAGACAGTCAGTCTGTTATATTAACAACAAAGGAGTATTACCAAAAGGAGTCGAATGCAGAGAAAGAAGGACTGGAGTAAAAGGTTAGGTTGAGTGTGTGAGCAAAGACGTAAGAACCCCCAAAGATGTCTGGTCTCTTTGGTAGAAGGTTGTTAGTGGAAAATCAAAAGAGCTAGCTCCTGTAATTGGGAGAGGTTTTTTTGTGTGTAGCATGAGTGTGTAGACAGAAAGCAGATGGGGCTGTAGTTGAGCTGCTGAATGAAGGGAAAATAAAAACAAGCAGACAACCTCTTCTAGTGAGACAGATGCTGTGTCAGCAGGCAACACATGCAGATCACACTAACAAGGGACCGATATGCATACAAGCTTGGTGCTCACAAAACATGCACATTGACATGTACACACAAATACACATGAACATGTCTCTGCCTTTTGGCCAAAAATCCATAGACAAGATCCTTAGGTAAACAATAATGTTTCTAATTCCACAAACACTGTAATCTCTCAGCTGCTAGTCCAGATGACAACGTGGGTGCGCGCGCGTGTGTGTGTGTGTGTGTGTGTGTGTGTAGAGGCAGTAAAGATTGAAATCAAACCTGTGAAATAGGACAACCATCCATCTACACCTACATCCTCTTATGTTTTATGACAGGTGACACAACCGTTGGTAGCTGCACAGTAACAGATGCCGTTATATCATTACGTCTTTGTGACTGTGTACAGGGCCATTTAACTGTGGGGCAAATTAGATTAGCACAGACGCTAAACAGGTCAACACAATAAAACAATGTTTCATACATGCTCTCTGATTTCATTAGAAGCCCTTAGAGTATCTGTCATTTGCCTGCAACAAGCCCTGTTTATAACATGCGGCAGAGACTGACTCCCCGTACACACATTCAGCTGATCCATGTACGGGCTAACAAAGCTCAGTTTCAGCATCTGGTAGTAAAGCGAAGCATCAGCTGTGTACACACTGAACAGTTGAGTTGGCTTCGAACCTTCGACTCGTCTCCAAATGATCACACACTCAAACTCACCACACATCAAAAGATATTACACAACTCGGTCTCATTGAAGCAGACGCCAGGCTGGCAGTGTCTTGATTATCACAGGACTGTGTTAGATATTGAAGTGCATTTCCTGCTGTCTGTGAAGCAGTAGTTCATTGATAGAAACGTGAACACATAACATTTTCAGTGGCCCCACAATAAATGTGTCTACTCAGATAAAAAAAAGAGTTCGCTAAATGTAATTGTTTTTATGATCTATGGAGAATATTAGGCTGTGTTTTAGACCATTGTAATCACCCTGAAAACATTTCAAGAGAAACTAATGCCATTGTCTTGTCCAGAACTACACAGAGATAATTGCTTAGTCCCTGTTTCACATCCTCGGCGGCTCTGGTCATTTATCACTATTAAGCACCTGGGCACACAACCACAAGACTTTTGGTTTCCTTGGCAATAAGCAAGCAAGCTAAATCCTGCTCCACTTCTTCAGGTGGAAGTGAGTCAACAGTGCTGTTGTACAAATCGCCCCCGTACCATCCTCATGCTTTGTATGAGCTTGTCGTAGAGTAGGGAAATTTAAACAAAAAAAGGAGCACAGAGACAAATGACAGTGTCCTGCCATTGACAACAAGCTTGTCACCACAGGCCAAACACTCAGTGGCAAGAGCAGCCTAGAAATACAGAGGCTTATCTGAGATAAACATGCTGGGAGGGTTTTTTTTTTATTTAACATTCACTCATCCAGGAAAACACAACTGAGCACCCTTGCTCTTTTCCAGCAGGGCCCTGGTTCACATTGCACACCTGGGAGCTGTCAATATAGCTGCTACGTGGTTGGTTACTGAGCTGCAACCCTGGAGAAGGTTGCAGTGACTTTACGATTAAAGTGACAACCCGGTGATCCCAACCTCTAGAGTCTGGACTGCTACTGTGCTTACTTGAGATAACAAAGACTCTGCTTAGTGCCCTTATACAGTAAAACACATTAGAGGTAAGATTAGTAGTTGATTAAAATGATTTGCTGGCAGCTTTTCAAGTGTCAGCAAATCTCTGGTGAAATGCTGGTTGGACAAAAAAAAGCAACTTAAAGATGTAACTTTGGTCTCTAGGGAATTGCAATGGACTTTTTTGTGACATTTATAGACTAAATTGTTAAATGGTTAATGGTTAAAAAATGTTGATTGATTCATCTATGACAATCTGTAATTGCAGTCCTATACACAGACACATACACACTGCACCACAGAAGATGTTTGCAATGTGCATCACTATTAGCTTGTTTTCAACAGAACAATGAAAAAACACTCAAACCACGTTCTTCACATCAGTGATTTCAATAGAGAAAAACCCCAGTTATCTAAAGACAATATAAGATAGGCTATAGGCTAAATAGGACCATCTGCAAATCATTTCCCAAAACATACAATTAATCTTCTATTAAATCCCTTATTGAATTGGCCATCATCCAAACACCACAGCAGACTATAGGCGTGGTACTCATCTCACACATTTTGCTGAGGGGATGAATGGGTGTGACTCCAGCAGGCTGAGATGCTGGGGCAAGGATATCGCTATAAAGTTGCAATAGCTCTTAGTACTAATATGTGTTTCATCCCCTATCTCAGAACATTTGCATCAAGGGAACGGCGTAGGACTTGTGATGTCGTCCTAGTCATTACACATGTGGGCAAATGATCCCGGTGAATGAGACTAATAAGAGAAAAGCTCATTTGTGACTGCTACAAAACATCAAATATCCTCTAGAGATTTCTGGTAAATCATCTGCTGGCTGCAGAGTGTATCTTAATTACACTGGCGTGCAAAAGATCTGAATCCTGTTGACTCAGTCAGCATAAAATGCCAAGTCACCATGGTAACAGGGGATGCAACACGCTTTGTAAGGAAGACTATCCACCACGAGCATCATCGCCGGATCTATTACAACTGTATAAAATGCGGTGATTAAAATCTACAAGAAACCGGATGTCCCATCAGATTTCGTGCACCACAGCCACAGCCAAAGCTTGGGCTACTACAGGTCACGTTGAAGCTTCTTCATGTTATGTAACCGCGTTGAATTACAGCGGTAGAAATTACCGAGCGCTGACGAAATCCGAAATTCACGCATGAACGGCGTTTGAAGCTGTAAAATGTGCAGTTTAATATCTGAACTCCATCACATATTTTATTTGTTTTATTTTATTTTTTTGCGCCAGACGCGTCAGTAACCACCAGCGTTAGTCCACAAAGTTGCATAACATTTCAGTCACATCACCACACAGGAATATTTGTGTACTATCACAGCAAGAACTATAACACCAGCCCACAAGGATAATAGCCCGGAGCCTGAATAACCTGTCATTTTTCCATTCGCGTAAAGCAGGAGCGTTTCTCAGGCTATAATCCCCCCCCCCACACACACACACACACACACACACACACACACACCCCCCCCCACACACATACACACACCACATAAAGACATCTGGCACAACATCTAACAAAAAGATTTCGGGGAGCAGGATGGATGGATGGATGGATGGATGGTTGGATGGATGGATGTGCGCCTACCTGTCCGCAGGTTGAAGGAGAGCCGGGCTTCAACAAGATATGGGGTGTCGCTCTTGGAGCGGAGTCTCCTTATCGGTCTGCGGTCTGTGCTGCTGTCTGGAGTGGTCGCCATCAATTTGAACCAGTGTCCGGGGTTGGGGGGGGGGGGGGGATGACTGCTGGCCGACTGGGGACAGACGCAGAACCACGGCCACTCACACGCCGAGAGGTAGCTATTGATGGGGAGGAGGGAGAGTTCACACACACACATACACCGAGAGAGGGAGGGAGGGGGGAGAGAGAGAGAGAGAGAGAGAGAGAGAGAGAGAGAGAGAGAGGCGTTGGTGGAAATCTGGCATGGATAGGCTTCAGTGTGAATAAAATATATTTTTATATATATATGTAAAGATGGCAAAATATGGAGGAAAAACAATGTTACACAAGAAAAACTAATTTACATTTAAATCAAATGTAGAACTTTAATTCATAACATATGATCTCAGGCTATATACTGTATATGCTGATTTAGACCTACACTAGCCTATGTGTTTATTTTATCTGTCAAATTCCAATTTGGCTTGACCATAATTAAGTACAGTGTTTGCTAGTATTGTTGTAGCCTACATAGTTTGTCTACAATGTTTATAGCCTAAACTTTAACAATATAATAATTCATGATAAGAATGAAGCATGATTATTTCTAATTTCTAATTATAATTATAATTTGTATTGTTATAATTGTAAACAGGGCTTTCATTGTCACACTAACACAATGAAATGGCACTGACATTGATTTTAGAGGGATCAGTACAGTATCATGTGATAGGCTGTGTGATGCGTTCAAGTCAGATCTTTAATTGTCCCACAGGAAGAACTACAAAAATGTAAACAATAAAAAACACAATACAAACACAATTTAACGACAGGACTTCAATGGTGGAGCATGAAGTGTTGAGTAGGAGAATGAATGAATCATCCTGAATGAATCACACTTACAGCACTCTACCACTAGATGACTCTCCTAAACTTTTTTCATTTTAAGGGCATTTTGTAAAGCGCGATTTACGACAGTGTGGTGCGTTTACGGCCTCTCAAGATAATTGCTGTGATAGAGGTAAACAAGCAAACTCGGCGAGGCTTTCTGCTCCCAAAGTGGGAATACCACAAAGTTAGGTAGGTACGGCAAGGTTTTCTAAGGGAAGATAGTTAGTTAAGGGGAAGGTAAATGCTGTGTTGGGTGGGTATTACCCGTAAATACACGTGTTTGGATGTGCACGTTAGTTCCTGCATATGTGACAGAGAGCACGACAACATTTCATCCCTAGCTAACTAATTCACGACGTTACAAGCGACGGTGTGTTACCGTGCTCCATTTTAGGACACTGTAAAGGACTTAAAGTCAACCACTGCACTGTACTTTCAAGATATTTATGTATATGATTTTCAAGTGTCTGGTTGGTTACCTTGGAAGAATACTGTTTAAAGTCCAAGAAGAACAACAAACAGCCATAGTAGTGAGCACAACTTCGCTGTAACTCATGGAAATATGCAGACTTTCTAGTTACAGCTCTTTGTCTCTAACTTGTAGTGAATCGCGGTCTTTTCTACATTAAGCTGTGCAGCCTGTAAAACCTGTTTCGACACGTTCGGCTTTAAGTTTGTTCAGGCTTGCAGGGCTCACCCAATTGCCTGTTTTTTATTGATAGTTTTATTTAAGTAGTCCCATTTAAACGCCAATTTTTACTTTTACTTCCAACCTCTTTGTTTTAAATTGTGTTTTTTGGACATTCCTTGTCCTGCCAGTGCCACTAACCAGGCTTCTTCAGTTTTGTTGCAATTGCAGGCTTCATTTAAAACGAGAGTTACCGCTGCTGTGATTGCACAACCCTCATTACATGCATTCCTCTTTCCATATCTTGTATTTATTTCGAAGCAATGTTAAGGGGGGGCATATTTATACAGTTGCACATACACAGGCTCATTTAATCTTCTATGCAAAATCACCCTTTTTTTTTTTACATTCTTTATAATAGCTTTACATATAGACTGCATTTTCCTACATTTCACTGCAGTGAAATACATTAAACAAAACAGCATGGTTGCTATTGCACCTAATGCACAATTTGCATAATTTTGTAAATATGCTCCATATGTAGCATTTGGTGTCTTTGGACTGTTCCTGTTAAGGATTTAAGACCAGTGCTCCCTGGAAGACTTCCTGACTAAATGAAGGATAAATAAAAAAATAAGGTAAAGTTCTGTGGGTTTGAACAGATTTGTAAAGTAAAGTAACTCCAGTAGAGTTGAGGTTAAAGGTTGATTTGTCATCTTCATATTAAGTACAGAAAGTCATAATGCATGTTGTATAAAGAGAGAAAATCTGCACCACATACAGTAAATCAAAACAACTGATTGGTGAGAAGAATACAGATAAGAGTTAAAAGTGGGACTAATTTCTGCTCTTTTTGTGTTCACTGTCTTGTTCCTCGTGTAACAATAGTGACAATGCTGCTCCAAAATCGAGCTGCGTTTGCCCTCGGTCTTCGCATGTACTCCACTAATGTGACGAGAGGGCCTTTGATGGACACAGCAAGACCAAACTCAGGTAAGATGAAAGGTATTAGGTTTATATAAAGTTGGTTTGCTGCTGTGTCAGCTCAGTACTGATCCCTCCTTGTCCTTCCTGACAAGCACGATAATAAAAATGATTAAACGAAATGAAATGTTTTTAGTAACACTTCACAGCGAGGTTCAGACATATCCTAGCATCGAGAAAATTAGTTAAAAATCAATCAAGTAGTAACTGCCAGTTAATGGCAAACAAACATGTAGTTTCTGGATAACTAAATCAAGAACCATGTAGTAGATAATGATATGTTATTATTGATTCAATAATATATTCTATGTTAATGAACCAGTGTCTAATGATTACTTATCTGCTACTTTCCATACTGACCTCTTTCACTAATCAATTGTTCCTGACTCCACTTTTGTACAGCAGGGGCATCAAAAACACTATAATATATGACTCAAATATTGTAATACTACTGAAGTATTGATCATATATTGCAGCATCCAGAGATCTAGCCAGACATAGCATTAGTTGACATTTTGTTTGGACTGTAGTAAAAGATTTCAGTGAATTTCAGGACGAAAATGTTGGAAATGATCAGCTTCAGAACAAAAACACTGATAACTCAAACTGACATTTTCTTGATAGTAATTGCTAAGTTATAGAATGTGTTTTTCTTTTCCCTTTCTTTTCCCAGACATGTCTGAATTCCGTAAAGCCTTTTCTAAAGCCAAGCACATAGCAATCATCACAGGGGCAGGTGTGAGTGTAGAGAGCGGAGTACCAACGTTCAGGGGAGAAAATGAGAAGTGGAGGAAGTGGCAATCTCAGGTAAGTTCTTAAAAAGCGAAGCACACGCACTATGCACGTGGCGGTTTTATTTATTTATTTTTGTCTTTTTATTTAGGTCAAAGTTTTGTGTGTGGTCTGGTTTCCAGCTGTAGTTTTGAGTTGTTGCTGTGGAGTGGGTGTATTTTATGTTTACATAATACATCTTCACAGCTCAGTGGCCTTAACTCAGGAGCAACAGCCAGTAAAGAGAGAGATGATGTTTGTTGCGTAATATTGATTCTTGTCGTGGGCTGCTGAAAGATTTACCTCCAGGAAAGAATCAAAAATGGTCTTTTGTACAAAAAATATAATGTCCCTCCCTAATTGAAGTATTTAAACTTAATCTGTGTCTAATTCTTGCCTCTGAGTACCACACTAACTTCTTAGCTCTTGAGTTTTGTCCTAAAACAGCATTATGTTAATGCAGGACCTGGCGACACCGGAGGCCTTCTCTCGCAACCCGTCTCGTGTCTGGGAGTTCTACCATTACAGAAGGGAGCAGGCTTTGAGCAAGAGGCCCAATGCCGCCCATCTAGCCATAGCAGAGTGTGAGGCCCGGCTGAGGAAGCAGGGACGCTCCGTGGTTGTCATCACCCAGTGCATAGATGACCTCCACCGACAGGCCGGGTCCAAACATGTGCTCAAGGTTCATGGTGAGAGGCAGAGTTGGGCCAGACTACCAGGCATTAGACTTAAATAGTGACATTTCACAGGATAATAGGTGTGGAATGATTGGCTTATGTGTTTCTTGAAGTTCTTAATTTGAACAAGTTGCCATCTAGATAAATGCAGAGGTTTCATTTCGCTATGGGGATGAATCAAATAAGACTTGAATATTAAGTCAATTATAATTGAAATCCTGTTCCATATTCATTGATGACTGGAAACCATGACAGCGTAGTATGTTCCATTGTTTTACTGGGATATGGAAACATTTTATGAGTCATAGTTGTTTTTTCAAACAAACATCCCATGAGCCCACAGTTAGTCACTAGTTTAATGTCAGTGGACCAACAACAAGTTCTTTTTTATGACATCATTTCAAGTGTTAATTCTCTCATTACCATCTCAAGGAGGCTGTTTTGTATGTTTTCGCACAGTTTCAGGGAGGAAAAACAGCGCTAAAGCCTTTGATTTGATTTCTTTGCCGAAACCTTGCTTTAATGTATGAGTCAGGGCACAAAACAATCAACAAATTCTGTGGAGAGGGACATGTTTTCTGTGACTCCAGTGGGCCTAAATAACAAACAGCTGTGTTTTCTGTGTTTAACTGCAGGCAGTCTGATGGAGACTCGCTGTGTGAGCTGTGGAGAAGTGTCTGTGAACAAGAGAAGCCCCATATGTGCTGCCCTAAAGGACAAAGGGTAAAAGGCAGCACCTCTGGAGTATACACACACTGATAAACATGCAGGACTTGTAGCCCGATCTCTTCAATTTAAACCACTAATGTATGTGCTATTTAACCTACTGTGTTTGTTCTCTTATTATACAGTGCCCCTGACCCAGATGTTGCTGATGCCCAGATTCCTGTGGATAAACTGCCAAGGTGGGATTACTGTCGGTTCATGTTAATAACACAGAGGGTTAGATTTACTAAGCCTTTTATAGTGGTTTTCTGATGGATACTGCGCCTGTAGTTTCCCTTTATTAAACAGGTGCACCAGCCTGAAAATACAGTCTTTCTGTCAACTTAGATGCATTCTGCATTGCAGCAGTGAATGTGCTTCTCTCTTCTACTTGTATATGCATTTGAGGGAGGAGTGTACGATTACCATGGGAATTTGCTTAATTTTGCCAATGCCAGTTTTATGTGAAAAAATTATGTTAAGAGGCAACTTTGTGGTGGGAGAAAAAACATGAATGAAACTGCATTGTACAAAAATCTTTATAGCAGCAGACAAAGATTGATATAATGAACTAACAAAATATCCGAATCTTATAAGGCCAAAAGTAAAATGCTGATGGAGTTGGTTTGTGCTCATTAAACATGAACTTAATGTTAATGAGATGTAGAATGTCTGTATATAGCACTCTTTAGGTAAGAGGGTTAGGTGCAGTTTTTTTCAACGTGGTTCAAGAGACATTAGTTGTATTAACCACTGTCTCCACCCTCCACCTGCTCAGCTTTGAACTTCTGTTGGACCTGCTGCTACTTCCTGCTCAGCGCGCTCTCTGTCCCAACTCACCCTCACCACCTGTTGCAGTGGCCTTTTTTTTTATATTGTATATGTGTGTGTGTGTGTATATGCATCGTATTTAGTTGCTCCTTTTTTTTTTATTTCCTTAGAAGTTCACTTAATGACCATTGCATTAATAATATACATACATCAATTGATTATTTTTCTTAGTTTGAGTTAAACTGATATAACTACATCATCTTTTTTTTTAGCTTCGTGCTCTCCGGCTACCTACCAGTGAGCCACTGACTCTTTCACTCACAGAATGCACCTTGCACTGATGTAGCTACAAGCTGCTGCTCTTGTAGATCAGTGTGAGAGCAAATGAAATGAAGACCGCTGTGCCAGCAGTGCATTTCTCTTTGCAGTTCAACTCTCTCACTTAACTCCCATGTTACTTATAGTGAAGTCAGGGCTTGAAAATATGAATATGTTTGAAAATGTGCTTTGGAAATCTTGACTTTCCTCTTAGACCTTAGAAGTGTTGGCTGACAAATTTAGTTTTACTTCAAATGCACACATTGTGAACAGCAACACAGCATACAAAGAACATGGGTTATACCGTTGAAGCATACAGAACAATAGGGAAGTGACTGTGCTTTAAGTTGACTCTGTAGTTTCATTATGTCTGACCCTCCATCATTAGATTATGTAGGACAGAAAACTACAGCTTCTTCTTTCTTTACGGGTCGTAACTACCAAGCATGTTGCACCTCTGGGCACACAATCTGTGAAACTATGTCTGTGTGGATTTGGGCTTTTGTGTTATGGCCAATTATTCTGTGATGAATGCAGAATGACACAATTAATTTGGTGCCGCTGTATCAAGGTGTGATGAAAGCGACTGCCGCGGTCTGCTGAGGCCCAACGTGGTGTTTTTCGGAGAAACTCTGGACTCTCACATCTTGACCAAGGTGGAAAAAGAGATGGAAATCTGTGATCTCTGTCTGGTGGTGAGTTATCCTCATGTTTACATCCATTCACGTCATATTCTCCCCTTGTGTAATGTTATTATGTAAAACAAATATTTGTTCAGACTCTCTCAAGGACTGGAGCTGAAATACAATGCTGTACAGTAGATTTCAAGCTGATTGTGGTGTCATTGCTCTCTGTTGTTAACCTATAGGTGGGCACATCTTCAATCGTTTACCCAGCAGCCATGTTTGGCCCTCAGATTGCGTCCAGGGGCATTCCAGTGGCGGAATTCAATACACAAACAACACCAAAAACGGAGTACTTCACGTAAGTCAGCCAACAAACCCGAGTGCATGTTGTAAAAGATGAAACTATACCACCTATCTGGTTCTATAATGTATGTAAGTTAACTTGAAAATATATGAGTTAAAGGTGAAACCAAACCAGTGGGTAATGATGCACGTGGATATTGCTATTTAGTGCCACCTGCTGGCTGCATAGGTAACATTCAGGCCTCTTTCCCAATTTTTGTTACCTTGAAACAGTTGCTCACTCCAAGGCACTTTCAACTCAATAAATGACCTTCCACCTGTTATCCTAAAATTCTGACTTTCTTGTGTTTTTCTGTGTGTGTGATGTGGCACAGGCACCATTTCCAGGGTCCATGTGGAACTACACTGCCTCCAGCTTTGGCGCGACATGAGTCAGAGGTTATTTAAGAGCCACAGAAATGGCTTTACAGACAGCAACCAGTGGCTTCTTCTACAGACTATCCAAGGCTCGGCGGGGGGGAGTTTTAGCTTTTTTTTTTTTTTATTCCAAAGGTTTGCCTTTAAATCACTTTAGCTGTTAAAGCTTGGTAGAGGGAAAAGATGTACAGAATGTAGCTTTTTAAGACAAATCTCTTAATACTTGAATATATAGCTCACTAAACTGGAAATGGGATATTGTATGTTTTACATATTGTCTGCTTAGAGTTAGGCAGGAGCTATGTTTGGTATGAGAAAGCAAATGCACTATGTATGTAGTTATTCGCATAGGAAAATATATTCTCAGATATCAGAGGGTATTTTTATTCTTTGTATTTCTTGCATAATAGATACTGGTGAGGGATTGTCATATTTTAGATATACTGTGCTCTAAAATGATGCTGTAGATCAGAACCTACTACTTCTGGTGCCAGTGGAGAGTATTCCTTTTTTCTCTTTCCACAGGATGAACAGATGTATGGAGCATAACATAATCTTGTGCCTTTCAAAACTGTTTACACAACCTTGACCAAATGCTCGCTTTAAATCTCAAGTGCAAATCAACCAGTGTTACAGAGATTTAGCAAAGTGTACAGAGTTTGCTTTTGACCAAGGACCGAGAGGGTAGAGAGAGGGAAAATCTTTTCGATCCTAGCCTGAATCAGCGTTATTTCACTCTCATGTGTTTGTTATGACATCAGTATAGTTACATGTCATGGATTATTCATGATACATTTTTACAAATTGCAATGTCTGTTTTCAATACATACATACATATATATATTTAACCACTGTAGATGAAAATTGTCTAAATATGAAAGCAATCATATATGAAACATGATTATCCTTTTTTTTTTAAACAACTTGTTTGCCCATGAACATTAATTTCTTATGATTTATTCTATTAAAACTGCCAATGCAATTATACAGATCATAATCATTAAAACACTAAATGTACATTTGCTGTTTCGTGATATTGTCTGCTTTGAAAAAGCCATCCAGTCTTTTCATGAGAGGATGCACTGTACTGTGTTTGCCCAAACTGAACAGTAGATGCCAGCATGTAGCTTTCTATCCCAGCTGTAGATTATACAGTAGAATATAACTCCTCTCTGAAAAGGGTACAGAAAACAACCTTGTGTCTACAGTGATGCTTCTCTTAGTATGCATGAGTGAGAGGAAACGCAGACTTAAGTACCCTAAGGGCCATCAGTGAACCGAGCTCAGGAAACAGTATCAGCCTCGATCATAATGCTGCTGAAAATGACAGTTTGAAGTGGAGAGCAGTTTATGATGCAATGTGGCATCTGTTGTCCCAGCTGATCTCTTACAGAGGAGATATTTTGTAGTAGGGGGTTTTATTCGTGCTTCTTTTTAGATTGTGGCCTAGTGTAGCGTTTCCTAACCTTTTTGCCTTGTCACTGCTTAAACCACTGGTCACCAGTTACATACTAGCTGTGATCTGTTTAATCAAAAAATACTTTTTCTTTATTAGAAAACCGGTTCTAAAACTATGGTACGTGTACCACTGGTGGTACGCAAACTGCTTCTAGTGGTACAAGGGGAAATCTGAAATATGTTTTTAAAAGATGAAATCAATTAATTTAAAAACATATAAAATTAACTAAATACTACAAATTCGTGGAAATGTAATTTTGAATAAGTTTTGCATTTCATGTAACATTTAGTTTTAGTATCAGCCGGTGTGATGGCAAGATAGTATGCGAACGTGAAATGAATGGTTCAAAAACACTACAGTCGTGGCTCCAAACAGGAACTATTGGGAAGTGTGAACCAGGAGTACTCCTTTTCCACAAATTAGCTCTGGTTCTTCAATCAGTTTTGTTCAGGATTCTACAACAGTCGACAATAAATAATTTCTTAATAGGAACAAACTTGTCTCCTCTGCGAACTGTCTGAAGCTGAATAGAGCCGGCCTATGGGTCTGTACTTGAATGTCAGTAATAATGGTGGTACTTGGAGGTGCTACACGATGTAAAAAGTTTGAGAAACACTGTATTAGAATAATACTTAGAGTCCAAAATAAACAATAACTGACAAGGAAAAAGGCAACGATTACAGGAGAATATGTTGTAGAAATATTTATGTTTCTGCTTTCCTGTCCTCTTAATCATCTTTCAACCCCCTCAATTTTTTCTTGCACGTGGGAGTCCGAGTCCCCAAGTATGGAAACACTGACCTAGTGCATCCTAGAGTCAAAAAGCTCTAAAAGTTTTTGTCTTCGTTGGCTGACTGGACTAACATAGTTAAGTCATTCAGTGGAAATGAGAAAGACAGAGGGCTAGGAGTCATTCAAATTAGCTGTGGAAGGCTATGTTCATTAGACAGTGTTATGATAATGTAATGATAGTCATAAAGGAATTATCTCAAGAGAGCTAGGGAGTGTATGTGTGTGAGAGGTAGGGAGAATACTACAGGCACACACACACACACACACACACACACACACACACACACAACACAGGTATGTAATCCATCTATCTCAGGGGAGTCACTCAGGGTTGGTTCATTTTATGTCCACTGTAGTTTAGGCACCAGAAACACACAGTTGTGACATTGTTGAAAAGAGAAAATTCCTGGCACTATTTCCTCTCAAGTATTATTCTGTATCCACTGTGGCGCCTCACCACTTGATTTCTTTGCTCAACAATTAGCATCCAAATCAAATCATTCCGTCTGCCATAAAGTATCTCCACCTGTTAATGTATATCATCATCATCATTGCCATGATTGGATTTTCTCATTTCCCCCTCTATTACCACCGCTTCCCTTCAAGGAGAGGATAGGCCAAGTCCCATTTGTCATCAGAAGAAAAAGTACATGGAGAGGCACTCAGCCGTCTGATACAGTCATTTCTGGAGCTGATGTGAACAAGGCTGCCAGAGAGCTGACAAGTCTGCTCCCAAGTCGTGCAGCTCATTCATGAATGTAGTAGGGAGGGATGAAATAGTAGAAGTGGAAAGGTTATTGTCTGACCCAAAAGCTTTTTCGGGTTAATAGACTCATCATCATTGGTGACAGCTCTACAAATATCCCTTTTGTCTCTTGAATGAGGAGGTAGATTTAGCGGGAGATGGCATCTGTGTGTGGTTTAAATACAAGTGTCTCTGTGTGTGATTGACTCCGTGACTTATTTGTTGGAGTCTCTGTGTTTGGAAAAAGCTGAGAGTGGCGTATGATGGCCAGCTGGATGAGTGTTCATATATGTGTGTGTGTGTGTGTGTGTGTGTGTGTGTGTGTGTGTGTGTGTGTGTGTGTGTGTGTGTGTGTGTGTGTGTGTGTGTGTGTGTGTGTGTTTGTGTGTGTTTGTATATGTATTAGCACCAGGGGGAAGAATGTGTCAGTGTGTGTGTATGTATACATGTTCTTGCACCAGGGGGAAGGATGTGTCCGTCTGTGTGTTCCTGCTGTATGTGTGTGCTGGTGTGATTTTTCTCTCTGTATGCAGACTGGCAGAAGTGTCAGACCAAACCAGGTCAGGCTGGGTGAGGAGCCGTGAACATTACACAGATACACATACTGTAGCTTTACAGTTACACAGAGCTTGTCGACGTCCATTAGGCATGGCATGGCTCATTCTGCCATTTCAGGAGTACAGTATCTGTGTTTTGAAACAGGAGTCTTGTTCAGATATTACATAACTATTTGAAAGTGTGAAAGTAATGACCTGAGCAAGTCTAAAAGAAATTGCTACATTTTAAAGGATAACACCTTGCATATAAAGCTAAAGGGATCAGTGGCATTGTAGCCAGATTTTAAAAAAATAGTTGCTCTGTCATTACACCCTATATTACCCGTATTTTAAATTTGTTTATTTGCGTTAGTCGATCATTAAGTGTTATGGGATAAATTGGAGACTGTTGGGCATGATAGCTTATGGTTTGTTGGTTTAAATCATAATAAGTAATTCAATTAAATTTTGTTTGTATAGCGCCAAATCATAACAGTCCTACTCCTTATGAAGTTATTTATAACACCTAACAATTCTCACCATGAGCAAGAGACGAAAAACCTAATTGCCTGTCTGAAGATACAGAATTAATGGCCCACGTGGTGTTCCATAGGTATCATTCCTAGGGCTGTTATTCTTCCTAACATAAATGAATGATATGAAATCTGCAGTTGATTGTCAGCTTTTTCTGTATGCTGATTTGACTTTGTTAGTAAGATCAAAATGTATCTTTGATGTGGAAAACACACTTAAAAAAATGTCATTGTGTCATGTGATGCAGTACATGACTAGTGAACGACATTTTTGTAAGACCAAATGATCCAAATGGTTTCTTTTCCTCAAAAAGTGAATTTGCTCTAACCAGATTTCTTAATATCATCTGCAATAGGGTCACAATGAAAGGCCACACCTTACTAAAGTACTTAGGTGGGTGAAATGTTTCAGAGAAAAAGTTTGTTAATGTTAGTTGCATGAACATGTTATGTATAGCTATGATAAAGACTAGAATTGATACAAAAAAAAATCTTTTTTAAGTGTAGGGACATTTAAATTAAAATAGTTAAACATTGTTAGCAGGGTTCAGTATAGCAGCAAGTCATGTGTGCAGTGTGTATTTATTTTATTGATAGTTGGTTTATTAAGTTGTTTATCAAACCATAAATATGTGTCAGGGGCGCTTCGATCGATTGATGTTCTTCCAAAATAAACTGCATGTTAAAATAAATGCAAACAATATGTAATTTGGCTGCATGGTTTATAGGAGAACAGAATGCAGAGGCTTATGAAGGCCTAGGTATTTTCTATTTATAGCAACTGTCAATTCACAACACTGGAGTGGAGACTGTGGCTTGTCTCACATGCATATAAACGCATGCAAAACACAAACACGCGCACACACACACACACACACACACACACATAGTGCTGGGAACCCATACTAATCTCTTTGTGGTCTGCTCTTCCTAACCTTTCTCTGAACTCAACAGACTTGACTGTGATAACAATGGTTTACAGTTAATCCCTCCGTTGCCATGACAACCACCATAATTTAAAAGTAGAAATAACAC